TCTGTGAATAGTTTTTTTTGATCCTCGGAAAATAGTTTTTTTTTTTGATCCCTTAAATAGTTTTTTTTTGATCCCTCACCCTGGTCTTGCTTGGTGAGATCCGTGCAAAACTCATAAAATCCCAAGAGAGGCCCAGTTTGTGAAGGTTGCCAGAAGCTCTGGGGCACTCCAGCCCTTGAGCTCTACACCCTTAAACCCTAAACCCCAAACCCTAAATCCTAAACCTCACACACTAAATCCTAGACCCTAAACCCTGTTCCTTTGTTCAGAGCCCTGAGTGCCGAACTAAACCCTAAACCCTAAACCCTAAACCCTAAACCCCAAGGCGAATACACCAGAAACCCCTGGGCTCTCAGCCCGTGCAGCCTTCAGCATCGCAGTCCGAAGCCTGAAGGTGTAGTGACTGTCAGAGTCTGACTTTGGGGTTTTAGGGTGTTTAGGGGTTTTGGGGGTTTAGGGTTTAGGGGTTCAGGGTTCAGGGTTCAGGGTTTAGGGTTTAGGGTTTAGGGCTTAGGGTTTAGGGGTTTTGGGATAGTTATGTATGGTACGACTAGCAGACTAACAGCCCCTTATAGTCCTGAGCACCCATGCTATACCATACTATACTAGACCCCAAAGCTGCAGTCTGTTCGTTCATTCGTTAAGGCCCCTTTTTTCGGTCCCAGGCAGCCGAGGAGCCCAAGAAGACTAAGGTCCCGGGACTCGGCTTTGCGTGGAGGGGCTTTGCCTTTGGGAGTTTAGGCTCTAGGGTGTAAGGTTTAGGCGTTAGAATGTACCTTAACCGCTCAAATCCTCCTTTTTTTTGGGTCCTTATGATGATTTCCTTGCATGGGTCCTTAAAACGGTGGGGTCTTGGGGTGCTTACGGTAGGGTTTCAGGCCTAGGTTCTTTCGTTGTGTGGTTTGAGGGCTCGGGCCTAAACCCTAAACCCTAAACCCTAAACCCTAAACCCTAAACCCTAAACCCTAAACCCTAAACCGAGAGTTTAGAGCTTCGGGGAAACCTCCTTCACAGGCCTTCCTTTCCTGTGTTCTGCTTCTACAGCCTCTGGCTTAAGGGTTATGGTTTAGGGTTTAGGGTTTTTTTTGGATTAGGGTTTGGGTTTAGGGTTTAGGGTTTAGGGTTTAGGGTTTAGGGTTTAGGGAAGTGCCCAATGACAGTGTAGTCAGTGTAGTCTCCAAATTCCAAGCTGGAGTTACTCTGGACCCGTCTTGGGAGGCTTCACTGCGCCACCCCTAAACCCTAAACCCTAAACCCTAAACCCTAAACCCTAAACCCTAAACCCTAAACCCTAAACCCTAAACCCTAAACCTTAAACCCTAAACCCTAAACCGGACCTCGGATTCGGGGTGCAGCCTTAGAGAGCCAGAGCCGTTCAACGTCTTTGCTACCTCCCAAGCTTAACCACGGCCTGAAGCACATTTAGGACACGATTAGGGTTTAGGGTTTAGGGTTCAGGAACGAAAAAACTGACACCCGGGAAGATCAAACACAACTGGCCCGTTGTGGGGCAGATTGACGGTTCCCGTCAATCAGGCAAGCCCGAAATTCCATTGCAAATCCTTCTCGAGCCTTGCTTTCCATACCTAGACCCTGAAGAACCGACCTTTTTGTTTGCACTCATATCAGGAAATCATAAGAAGGAACCCTAAAAAAGGTAGGTTCTCTAGGTTCTAGGTCTGGTTTTGCCCAAGGTTCAGGGATGTTTAGGGTTCATGGTTCGGAGTTAGAGCCATAGACAACAAAATACATCCAGATAGATTGTCTGCGGTTCACTCAGGCGCCAGCGCTTTCAAGCCCACCCAAAGCCCAAAACCTCAAACCCTAAACGCAAAACCCTAAACCCTAAACCCTAAACCCACCCTTAAAAGCTAGACATATAACGACACCTGGAGAAGATCCCAGAACGTGTACTCAAAGACTCGCTGAGGCTGCAGAAGAGCCCAAGAAGACATCCAAGGCCTTTGGGGTTTCTTCCTCTTTGGGGGCCTAAATAATTCCCAACATTATTCCTTGGGGGCCTTACTAGAATTATAGTATAGTGGCCCCCAAACCCTATTCTAATGATTAAGGCTTCTAGATTAGGGCTTGGATTAATCTTTCGGGGGGAAGGGAGGCAAATGGTTGCGGGTCTTAGGTTCTGGCGGGTTAAGGATTGTCTCTATCTTTGCGCATCAGTCTTGTGTATAGACATGCTGATAGACGCATACATGTACATATGTGTCTGTATGACTTCGACTGACATGTGTCTCTGCGGGTAACATTCTATTCATTCTATTCAACTGAACTTCACGGCCCCCGAGGGTGAGGGTTACTACAGGGGCCTTGATAATTAGAATAGGGCTTTGGGCCCCATTATACCATATCTGTAATGAGGAACCCCCCCTCCAAAACAAAATAGTATTGGTAATTATTTAGGCCCTGAACCCCTCAACCCGAAACCCTAAACCCTCAACCCTGCACCCTAAACCCTAACCCTAAACCCTAAACCCTAAACCCTAAACCCGAAACCCTAGAAACTCATGCCAAAGTCCGAAACCCTCCCGGGACGGCGACTCGCAGGCGGCGGAGGAGAAGCCCAAGAAGCCGAAGGCACCTGAGGACGCTGGGTGGTGAGGGTTCGGGTTCGGGGTTTAGGGTTTAGGGTTTAGGGTTTAGGGGGGGGGGTTCTTGTAACTAGCGGTTATCTGTCAGGGCTTTACTTTTCAGGAGGCTTTCTGAACACTTTTGAAGGGGTTTGAACTGTCGCTTGTGGGGTTTATGCGCACTGCTGACACTTCTATGCGGGTCCCTTCGTTTGGGGGTGCTGATCCTGATGAGAAGGATCCTCAATGGCAGGTCGTCAGCGCCGGCGTCGTCGCAGTCGTGGTTGTCGTGGTAGTCATGGTAGTCGTCGTCGTGGTAGCAGTAGTAGTAGTAGTAGTAGTAGTAGTAGTAGTCGTAGTCGTAGTAGTAGTAGTAGTAGTCGTAGTCGTAGTAGTAGTAGTAGTAGTAGCAGCAGCAGCAGCAGCAGCATCAGCAGGCGGCACAGCTTGGGAGCCATGCGTAAATCTGTAGATGGCTGCTACAAAGATTCGAAACCGAAGAAAAAACGACCCTAAGCAAGCTAAAAGCCCTGAACTCTTCAACTCCGAATCGCAAGCAGAAAAACAACAAGTCTGGAGTGGAGGGAGTTCCGCGCAGGAGGAGCCACCCAAGAAGACGACGAAGGCATCCGAGTGGGCTTCAGGATCTCGTGGTTTGTGGATGTTGGGTTTAGAGTTCAGGTTTTAGGGGTTTAGCGTTGAGGGTTTAGAGTTTAGGGTTTAGGGGTTTAGGGATGTCTTCAGTTGTTGAAGTTGCCCTAGGTCCGTTTCTATTTTGGTTTGGAGACTGCGAGGCGGAGACTGAAGGAGCTTCCCTGGGCAGCCAGAAGTGTCTGCAGGCTCCGTATTCGAGGTGCTAGCATTCACGGAGAGGCTTGGAGGGCATATTTCTGACAGAAGTGAAAAAAAAACAAAACCCGTCGCGTGTGTGTGCTTTTTAAATTTCGTTTCCTGAAAGTGCGCTCGCTGAATTCTCCTTTTTCAGGGTTTCATTCTGTCGTGCAGAGTGTCCGCAAAGTTGGGAAACTCTTGTCTTCCTCAAGCCCCGAGAGATGATCCTGATATAGGGTTTAGGGTTTAGGGTTTAGGGTTTAGGGTTTAGGGTTTAGGGTTTAGGGTTTAGGGTTTAGGGTTTAGGGTTTAGGGTTAAGAGCCCTAAATAACTTACCAATGCTATTTTGGGGTTTCCTTCTCATAGTTATCGTATAATGGGCCCCAAGACCCTGTTCTATCTATTAAGGCCCCCATGTTAGAGAACAACAGGAGGAGTGGAGTTCCTTGTGAAGTGTCCCGAGTAGAATTCCACCCCGCCCCAAGTCCGAAGCATAATTCTGCGCCGAAGCAACAACATCTTTAGGCCCTAAGCCCTAAACCCTAAACCCCAGGACCCTAAACCC